TTGTCTTCTGAAAACTTCCAGGTAATATCTGTTAATTTTCCAGTAATGGCAGGACTTAATTGTATGGTTCCATTTAATAATCCAAAGCGCAGCTCCAACTCGCCTAAAGTGAAAAATATGACAATATTGGAATTAGACTTGAATTAAGTGCATTTCTTTAACATTTTTATAATTTATAATTTACTTCATTTCATTTCACCCATTTAAATGTGTTTTTCACTATATTTTAGTTGTAGCTAATGAGATTACTAACAAAAGAAGAAAAATGCTTTATTCACTGTGATGTGATCATTATAACCTGTATATAACAGAGGTTATTTGCCGTGCACCTGTTATAGTGCATGGCAAATTCCACTGGAATTTGAAAGGCACATTGGACCATCAGGCTTGTTCACTCACCTGTGTATTCTGTGTTACTTTAGGTCACCCGAACCTCAGTTGTGTCAGATGTGTGTAACAGTGCTCAGTGACAGTGCACATCTTACAGAAGTGATGTTACTAGAAACCCAGTGTGTGATTCTCCTGCTGTAGAAGACCCAGTCTTCTGGTGAGCTGGAGTTAGCTGCTCTTTAGGGAGTGGGGCTGTGTACAGTCTGTACTCCTTGATTGGACTGTGATAAAATCCTGGCAGGGGCAGAACAGAGCTGAATCTGCCATGAATAAATAACTGTGGAATTCACATCACTATTGGTCACATTAGTATTAGTATTCACATTACTGTTGTTTCATTTTTTCAAAGGACAGATTTCTGTGTAGAAGGGTAGAGTACTAATGAAAATCCAGAGAGGCTGGGAAAGAGGAATCACATTCACCATTTGCACTGCTGTGGAAAATTTCTCATCTGGTCACTGGTCAATCTAACACCAAGCAGGTTAGTTGAGTCAGTTTGCTCCTGCACCACAATACGCTAACTCACAATGTTTGAGGAAGAGGAATAAAAATCACAATTTATCATTCACAAGTGAATCGCCCAACTATATATAGCATATCTGATAACATAATAAACCAAATAAATATACATTGATATAGAACATGTTGCATTTGACATAAAATATAACTCATATTTTGCAAGGATAATGACAGATTTTGCGTTTGGTCATCACGTTCAGCAATCTTTCCATTAGATATACAGTCTCTATGTCTGTTCATTTAAATGTTGTCTAAACATTAATTTAACTTGAAAAATTAAAACATCACATAGTGTAAAATAAACTTCATACCAAACTTACCAGTAGTGAGGTTCGTGAGCAGAACAAACAATGCAATAAGAAAACAGGGTTTCTCCATGTTTTCGTCTCTGGTTCCCTCAGC